AAAGGAAAGAAATAAGGACACAATTAGTAATAAATGTACATAACTCAAAGAGTGGGCGGTCCGGGCGGGGGGGGCGTACCCCCCCCCCCCCCCGGAAAAATGAGAAACAATAATTATTTCTTTATTTACTCAGCAAATGTATATTAATTTTTTATTTATTTCTCAATTTCACACTGCTCCTCCTCCCTGAACAAATTTCTGCGGACGCCCATGTATTCAAAACAAGGACAGCTGAATGGAACTGAGGTTGGTATTTAGGCTAGAATGTTCACAGAGGCGTCACTAGGTGTTTAATTAAACGATTCGGGGCTCGGGCGTGTAGGCGCGGGAATTTTCGGCGTTTCAGTTTGATATCGATCATGGTTTTCTGTTTTGATTTTCCAAGACACTAACTGGGGATTCGGGACAATGTCAAATAGAATCGGGGCACGGACCCCGTGTGCCAGTGACTAGCGACACCTCTTAGTGTTCATATGAGATATATAGACTTTCTTTGATTAGAAGCTTCTAGCTTGATGATCCTGATGTTAGAGTTTTGAAGTTATCAATAGATAAAAGGTGGTTACTAACTTTGCAGTATGTGTGAATGGGGGTGGGGTGGAGGGAGCACGTGGACTTAGAAGTGGTTGACTGGCTCTGCTCGAATCTTCTATATGTTTATAAGCACGTATGTATACTTGGCGCTTTGTCTTGCCAATATAGATGGCTTTACAGTTATCACTAATGTATCTGTAGACGACTCATAAATGTGGAGGAGTAGGAAGAAGATCTTTAGTTTAAAAGAAGTTTCAAATTTGGAAAGAAGATCTGAAAACCAACTGTAGTTTGATATGTGGGTAAAATTCGATTTCTAACAACAAAAGGGAACGACAAAAAGTAACAGAAATTTAAAAGAGGTGTGTATTTTTTTATTATTTTTTTTTATCTATGCCATTTTGTTTATAGCAAAATTACGTGTTATTCTTACAAGAAATTCTAACGTAAAAGCATTAATTTTCAAGGTGTTTTGTAAATATTCAACTTCAGTGTGAATCAAGGTATAGTTGGAACAAATGTTGTAAACTTTATTATTATTATTGAGCCAAATTAATATACATCGCTACCTACGAGGCTTCCATTCAACATAAACCGGTTTATATGTACTAGCTTCAATGTTAGCTATGTCACGAAATAAAAATTTAATTTCAGTCATTTGACCTAGGTTTTATCGTTCATGAAACAATAATTCATAATATGTATTGTTAGAGTAATATCGAATGCTACTGCTCTGTAAGATTAGTGGAAACTAGTCCCTAATAATAATAATTTCAGAATATATGTTTGATTGTTGTAAAGCCCAAAGTTACACCATTGCCTGTCTGTGCTGTGACTACCACGGGTATCGAAACGTGGTTTTTAGCGTTTAAGCCTTCAGACTTGCTGCTGAGCCTCTGGGGGCAATTTCAGAAGAAAAAAAAATTAAGTTAAAAGTGTAGTTGAATAGTTGAATAAAAGATGGCGCTCCAAAACAAGTTCAGTAGGGTTGATATTGACATGGACAAATCTCGTGTTTTAACAGTAACTACAATGTGTTTTATCAAACAGACTCAGTGAAATGGACCATTTGTGGATTGTATTTACGTTACCAGGAAATTACAAAAAGAAGATCCATCACGTTATCATGGCATATTTCTCATTAATAGAATATCTGTAAAATCCGACAATCTTTTTAGGTTTAATGGATTAACTTAATATTTATGAACGTATACAAAAAATCCTTTATTCATTTATTTTTACAATCCATCAGATATGTTTTCTGTCAAAATCTCGATAATGTTAGAAAAAAAAATAACAAAAAAAATTAGGCGTTAATTACTTTAACTAAACCTCACTGACGCCAATAGTTAAAACTCGTTCTAATAAAAGTTAGATTACAGTAAAATAAATACGTTTACATGTCAAGCAATACAGAGTTGGATCATAATAAAATGCAACCGATATTATATTTAGCAAATTTCTTTCATGTGGTTTGATATAAAATATGAACAAAACTTTACTAACAGTGAAACCGTGTTGGGCGTGGCTCAGTAGTTAACTTTACGGACTGTGGTTTGTTTGTAATAAAACACAAAGCCACACAATGGACTATCTATGCTCTGCCCACCATAGGTATAGAAACCCGATTTCTAGCGTTGTAAGTCCGCAGGCATACCGCTGTGCCACTGGGGGGTGACGGACTATGGATCTTCGAGCTCAGTGTTCCCGTTCCGCTCTGCACCCTGAGGCCGTGGATGCATAATAAAAGTAACGGTCAAATCCTACTATTCCGCCAGACAAAAGTAGGCCAAGAATTGGCTGTATTTTTGTAGTCTCTCAATTTAAAATTGTAAACGATTGTAGCAGATAGTCCTTGAGTAGCTTTAGGCGAATAACTGAAAAGAAACAAAACTTCATCGGTAACGGCCCGGCATGGCCAAGTGGTTAGGGCACTCGACTCGCGATCTGCGGGTCGTGGGTTCGAATACCCATACCACCAAACATGCTCGCCCTTTCAGCCGTGGGGGCGTTGTAATGTGACGATCAATTCCACTATTCGTT